ATTTTATACTTTTGCATTTTTCCCCCTCAATCTTTTGTTTCATGGCTTTTATAAATGTCTGTCTCACTGCTTGTCCAAAACCTTAAAATGTACAAATGCACACACATTTTACCATAAACATGCAGTTTTTTCCTTTAAAAATACATTTGCATTTATATTTTAAACCATTATTTGTCATTTCTAAGGTGGTAATCAAATTGGCCTTAGAACATGTGTCAGATGTGGTGACATTATTTTTTTTTTTATAAAAACAGAGTTCTAAAGATTATTTTTCATTGTTTAATTTTTTATGAGCTTTAAAATGCATTTTCATGACTCTAAGAAACCTGCAAGCTCCTCTGAGCTGCAGAATAGAAGCAAGGATGAAGCATGAGAAACGGCCTGCCAGGAGGCAGAACGCCTGCTCTGCTTCCAAGGAGTGTGACCTTGGAAGGACGTTGGCCCGCACTTCCTTCCCTCCATTTCCTTGTTTGTAAAATAAGGCTGTTGTATCATATGCGTTCTAGGGGTTCTCTCAATATGATGATATGATACGAAAGTGTTTGATGAATAATTTTAAAATAACAAATCATGCCTATGTAGTAATTTGAAAGACTGCATTTCAATTTATATTTTTCAAATATTTCTGAGAGACATTTAGCTTTTAATCTTCAAGTTAAAGTTAATAAATATTAGAATTTTTCTTTGGCTATATATGTTAGGCACCTCTCCCCAAAGGAAAATCGTGATATTATACTAGTTCTATCTTCTCAAACCTTCATTTTCTTTTCCTTTACATTTAAAAGGCCTGGTCTAAGATGAACTTTCTGATGGCCGTCCTGGCTCACTTCAGTAGTGTTGAATAATAAGCTAGATTGTTAGTACTGCATGAATTCGGGGTAACTCTATTTAATTTATTATTTCAAATAACCTAAAGTAGTAAATATGAGAGACTCTCAGAATATGTTTGTTGACTGAATCAATCTGAATACAGTCTAAGGAAGCCTTTTTTACATGAAAACTATATTAATACACTCCTATTCCTATTCCTATCAATAATGCAAAATTTTTTTTTTTACTAAACAGCAGTTAAACTTGCTGTCAGTAGATTTTCTTTTGAATTTAGTAATGGATTTCTCCTTAGGCTATGCATGGGTGAAGTCAATGAAATAAAAGACCAGATGTAACATAAGAAAAATATAAGAATTAGACAGAATTAATGCAAACAGTAACTATCTTGCTGAAAAGGGATGGTAACGTTATCCTGATCCAAGCTGTAATCATACCATGATGATTAACATGTGGCCTCTGCCCTGTTCACCATAATACATCCAGAGAAAAAATGGAGGAGAGAGCGAGAGGCTCATTTTAGGTGGGACATCAATGCTGGTAAGCAAAATACGTAAGAGCTTTCCTCGGTCTATTCCCAAAACATGGCACTTCAGGAAACTCAAAGAGCTTTCATACAAAAGGGAAGGCATCGTCCATTGACATGGCATTAGGAACAACCCTGATGGAAGGACTGCATTTTATATGCAAGTAATTGATAGCTGTTCAATTGTTGTTCATTTATGCATCCAGGTGATTGATAAAGCAAACACTCAAATCAATTAGTCAGGAAATACTTATTGAATACCCGATGCTGGTCAGTCCTGAGGCCCTGATATCAAACTGAACCGTACTGAGGAGGAGGGAAGACAGAGGTGGGAAGGCACTGGGACGACCTTGTGGAAGAGGAGTGTTTGGGCTGAACTGTATCCCTTCCAAAAAGTATATGTCAAAGCCCTAACCTCTAAGGTGACTGTATATGGAGATAGAGCTTTTAAAGAGGTAATTAAGGGCAAGTAGCAGTTAAACATGCTGTCAATACACCAACAAAAAATAATTGTCTTAAAGTTCTGGAGATCAAAAGCCCAAAATGGATCTTAAAGGCTAAGATGAAAGTCTTGGCAGGGCTGTGCTCCTTCCAGAGGCTCCAGGAGAGAATCGTTCCTTGCTTTTTCCAGTTTATAGAGGCTTACAGCATTCCTTGGCATGAAGCCTTCAGGTCACAAGTGTGGGCCTTAATCCAATGTGACTGGTGCCCTTACAGTGGTTCTCAACCTTCCTAATGCCGCGACCCTTTAATACAGTTCCTCATGTTGTGGTGACCCCCAACCATAAAATTATTTTCGTTGCTACTTCATAACTGTAATTTTGCTACTGTTACGAATCGTAATGTAAATATCTGATATGCAGGATGTATTTTCATTGTTACAAATTGAGCATAATTAAAGCATAGTGATTAATCACAAAAACAATATGTAATTATATATGTATTTTCCAATGGTCTTAGGCGACCCCTGTGAAAGGGTCATTCGACCCCCAAAGGGGTCGCGACCCAGAGGTTGGCGACCCACAGGTTGAGAACTGCTGCCTTACAAGAACAGACGTGCGCGTGCGTGCACACGCGCTCACACACACACACACACACACACACACACACTGAGAGAGAGAGAGAGAGAGAGAGAGAGAGAGAGAGAGAGAGAGAGAGAAGAGAAAACGATAGTTATGCCAGGGGTGCACACACATAGAGAAAAGGTCATGTGAGGACACAGTTAGAAGGTGGCTGTCTGCAAACCAAGGAGAGGGGCCTCAGGACAACACTTTAATCTTGGACTTCTGGCTGTTACCAGAGAATTAAACTTCCCTGTCACTCGTGGGAGTGAGGTTCTTGTGACATCTTAGAAAATGTGTGGAAACAGGCTTTATTTGCCTAAAGTTACAATTCTCAGGTTCCCTTAAAGTCTCCTGCCCCTTAAGCCAGTCTTGGAAAAGGTGCAGCTGAGGTTCCAGCAGAGAGAGAGAGAACTTCGTTGTTTGGAAGTTTAAGTACTCAGGCTTTGCACTCTTGCAGTGATCACACCCATCTTGGCCACTGACTGGCTTTCAGGTGTGATTGATGAGCAAACAGGTAGGCATCTTCTCACGTCACTCAGACCTTACTGGGCATGTGTCTAAACTGCCTTTTTCCAGTCCCTACCCCCATTGATTAGTGGGGAACAGATTTGGAGAGTGTTAAATGCAGCTTTTTGACAAAGCTGCACAAATAGCCTGCCTATACCTAGTCTTCCCTTTCCTCCTTTCCTGTTAAATAATAACCAGGTTATCACAGCTTCCAGGACTCTGAGAAAGAAAATTTCTGTTGTGTAAGACTCCTAGTCTATGGTCCTCTGCTATGCTAGCCCTTGGCAGACTAATACAAGGAGGAACTTGATCAAAGTCTAAAAGGATGGATAGAGCCGTTTTGGGAAATGATATTGGGAGAGATCAGGGCCTGGTTCAGAAAAGCACTCAGTGGAAGTGATGAGTGAAAGTCACATAAAAAGTTGGAACATACCTCGCTTGTGGAATTAAAGAGCAGAAAGGAGAACAGTGTGGAGGCAGTGTGGGTGGATTCTTGGGAACTTGGGTGCCATTATATCTGGGGTGGGGGAGGTGACTGTGGAAGATCTTGATATTCAGGGAGAGAAGGTTTGTAATTGAATCTTTTGGGGCTTACATTTGGGATTTGAAAATTTGCGGCTTACACTTGGGATTTTGGTAAGGAGTTAATTTTAAAAAGAGCGAGGAAGATATGATCTCTGGAGGCAGATGTGGAAATAGAGAATAAGGTGTGGCTCCAAGAATGGCCATAAAAATAAAAAAGAGGTGAGAGTTTGATGATAGCTCAGTGTTATTGGGAAGAATGAAGGATTAATGAAGTTAATGAGGCTGAAAGGTAGTTCTTCATCCTTGGGGTTTCATGAGGATTGGAATATGTTTGAAATTGACCTATTGCATTGTTCCACCCCCTATTACTTTTAAATAATTTGAAACAGAAGAGTTACCATTTCTTTTCGTAAAGCTTTATTATCATTAAGTGCTCTCCTTTCACCTAGTGCCATAAGCTCACTGTGTGTGAAAATCCCAGGGGTGGTTCAGGTGCCCTTCATGCCTCACAGAATCCTGGGATGCCCCTTCCTAAGATGCACTGGTTCACCATCTGTTTCATGTGCTACGTGAGTGCAGTTGCTCAGATGGTTTTTATCTCTAAAATAATGTTTGCTTTTTTCTCACTGCAGGAATTATACATGTTTATTTTAGGAATTTTGGATACTATAGAAACATACAAATAAAAATTTCAAAAATTCATAGTCCTACTAAGATATAGGTATTCTTAGTATTTGGGGAATCAAACAGAAGGAGCAGTTTTGCTTCCTCCCTCTTTTCAGTTAATGCACATGATTATTCAACATGTTGAAATTATGTTCTTGGTAGCTCTCTATATTGTTTAGTTTAGAATCCCTTATGATTTTCTCTGGGACTTCCAAGAATAGTGTTGGAAATAGTGATTTCATTTTTCCAACAAGAAAATTTTGATAGGCGATATTTGCAGTAGATGTACAGAGGTTCAGTTTTGCTCTTAGGAAGACAGGGAAACCTCTATGAAATTATGTTTGCTTAATTAGAATGGAAAGAATTTTAATTAATTAATTAATTAATTAATTAATTAATTATTTCTCTGGATAATGTTTTTTTCTTTTCCCTCTGGATAATTAGAACTGAAATATTTTTAAAGTTTGTATTTGTGACAGGATGAAAAGTATTTTTAGATCATATTCACCATATTATCTTACTCTTGAACATATTTTGCTCTATTTTTTAATGTACAAGGCTTAATTTTAAAGGAGCCAGTCATTTAATATAGAATAAACTGAAGAAAGTTCGGTCTTCTTGGAAATGAAATGTGTAGCTACGTGAGATAAAGTGGAAAGGTAGGGCACTGACCCTCCTTGGTTAGGTGGTGCTTTACTTCAGACTGGTGAATGCTTGGCTTCTAAGAAGGTGCACATTTTACTTTGCTTTTATTTGATGTCCATGTTGAATTGTTGTTTTCTAAATTAGGATACCATACACTTTTTTAAAAGTGATCTAAGAAATGCTTATCATCTGATCACTATGCTGAATAATAAATACCTTTTATCTTTTTAATATTGCAGTTGACTCATGTTAACCAGGCAAGCTTCCAGGTCGATGCCTTTGGAACATCATTTATTCTTGATGTCGTGCTAAACCAGTAAGTCTTTGTTGAGCTGTATTCACTTTTGTCCGATACCCATTGAATCTACCTTGTTATCCTTCTGTGAAGTTTTGTTTTCTTACTGTATTTTACTTCATCTTCCTATATCAGTTAAATAATACATTTAAAACTAGTACATCTATTAATATAATATCTGTTATATCTATTAATATGATATCTATTATAAGTATTAAGTCTGGCAAGTAACAGGAAATGGATATCCATTTGAAATTGAAGTCAGAACAGATTTGAGAATGTAATATGGTGGGCAAGACCTACTCCACTATTTTGCATAAAAATACCTGTGACCTAAGTTTCTATGAATGACAACAAATTGTGAAAATAATACTTTTAGTGTTAAAATTTCCTTCTTAAGAGAAAGCTACCCTTTTGCTCAATGACTCAGAGGATTGGCTGTGTCCGTTATTCTTAATAATGCCTTTGGGATGCTTTGAGTTGGGAGTTGATTTCTGTGAGGTTTAGGGTACTGGGATTATTCGGTAAGTACCATATAATTTTGGAAATTGTCATTTGCCTGTCTACCTGGAATTTGGGGTTTGGAATAACAGAATTTTAGGTTTAGAAGTGGCTTTTGTTTAATCACTGGATTTAATCTCTTCCCTTTGGGTAAGTCTAGTGTCTAATAAGTCTTACAGGACTTTTGGTTGTCTGTTCCCTTTTTTAAAAAAGCATTTGTATCCCACTTCTCATCATGGGCAAGTAGAAAGAGACCATGCTCTGCCAGCCAGTGTTTGTGAGCTGAGCAGCAGTGGCCAGCAGCTTTGCTGAAATCAGATAGCTATGCACCAGCTCAGGAAGAAAATTTGAGGCCAGAAGGACAGAAATGTAGATCTAGAGTGAGAACTAAAGCCTAAATTGTCTACATTGGGAAACCAGGTGAATGGAAGACTATAAAAATGACATAAGAGGCAGGACTTAGAGCTGTGATATCTGGATAAGTAGCCACTAGCCTCTTTAAACAAAATTTGAGATTCTATTTTTCTGTTGCATTCGCCACATTCCTAATGCTCACTAGCCATATGTTGTTACTGGTTATCTTATTGGACAAGTCAGTACATTTCCATCATTGCAGAAAGTTCTCTTGGACAGTGTTGGTTTAGAGAATTCTTTTGGAGAACAGGCACATAGAAACTGTTAGATTATTGAGCTAGGTCAGTCATTTCCATCCATGTTCAATGTTAAATTAATAATGAATCTTACTAGTGTCCTAATTTTTATGGAATTTATGTACAAATTTGTGGTAATACCATTTTTGCTGCATTGATGTTTAAGCCATGCATTAGTTTATTTTGTCATTAAGCTATCTCAAATGGTACATTTTGTGAGTAATTCACCTCTCATCTTTGAAATTCACCAACAATTTAAATATGAAAAAGCATGGTGTTAGATGGAAATTGTTTTCTTACTTTCTTCTTTGATAAAGTATATATTTAAAATGTAACATAAATTGTATTTCTACTATGCTCATTAAAATAGAGTTTGTTTCTTTTTTTTTTTTTAATTAATGGCCTAGCCCTAGCCAGTTTGGCTCAAGCCTGAGGACTGAAGGGTACTGGGTTTGATTCCATTCAAGGGCACATGCCTTGGTTGCAGGCTCCATCCCCAGTAGGGGGCATGCAGGAGGGAGCTGGTCAATGACTCTCTCATCATTAATGTTTCTATCCTCTCTCCCTTCCTCTCTGAAATCAGTAAAAATATATTTTAAAAAATTAATGGTCTAGAGTTAGACATATATAATTAAATGTTTTACACCACATGCATTTTTAACCTAATTTTATAGCGTGTAAGACTCTGTTAATACGATCTGTATCTTATATTCCTGTTTGATGTAAATACTTGGCATAATTACACCACCTGGAGACAGGTTGCCCTATTTTAAGTCGTAATCCTCTTTGCCCTTGCTCCCCCATTAATGCTACTACCTGTTCTGCCCTGCTTCATTTAAAAAATATTATTCATCACCATTTAATATGTTGTTTGACTCGTATTGAGGCAGGATGGTATGAAGCTAGGAAAACTCCTTGGCAAGTAGAATGGGGAAACTGAGACAGGGAGCGGAACAAACCTGCTGAGCAATTTACAGCCGGATACAGAGGGTCACCTCCCAGAAAAGCAGCAAAACCCAGTGATCAACACCAGGGCAGGAAACTGATGCGTATTCTGCTGAAACCTTCCCCTAAGACCTCCGCTAAGAGGATTAACATAAACAAACAAACAAACAAATAAATAAATAAATAAGAAAAAAGAGGAAAATCTCCACCTTGAATTTTTTTGGCACATATTCATATTGTCATTGTCTTTGGTTCCTAATATCCTGTGATTAATGATGCTCTTGAACAAGTCTTGAATGTGTAATCAGCCAAATAAACAAGATAGTATGAAAAAAAAAAGAATGTGGCCTGCAAGAGAGAGATAAAAACCCTCAAAACAAAGGACCCAGCATGCACTCCTCCCCCTGGGCTTGAGCGCACCTGTGCCTTTCCTTCCCCTCTCTCCTTCCCCCACAGGCAGTATCCTAAACGCCAAGGGTTCCCAGGAGGCTTGCAACCAAGGGAGCAATGAGCAGTGGCAGCTCATCCTGCGCTCACCCCCTGAACCTGCCCTCAAGGCCCCCTTTTCTCTGATGTCTCAGTGGGCTGAAGCAGCCCTGCTAGGCTCATTTCTTTCCTATCACATTTTCAGTGAGCCGAAGCATCCCTGCCTTGGCTGTCTCCTGCAGTTTCTTCTATCCTAGGCCTTTCCTTGTCCCACTGTCCCCAGCTTTAATGAACATACTCTCAAAATCACCTGGACTCATGTTGTGACATCTTTCCTACACACTACAGGCTGGCCCTAGGTAGACCCACTCAGGGCCAGGTCTCTTTTCCGGCAACAGAATGATGTTGTCATTTTTGCAGGGCAAAAAAATTTGACTCCTAGCATCTTCATATCATGCACTAATAGCCTGTATTTTAATTATTCACTTTGTTTATTTTTTTTTTCCTCCCACTAGAATGTCATCTCCTTGAGAGCAGAGATTTTCTTTCTTTCCCTGCTGTAGCCTTAGCATAGAGTAGGTGGAAAATTGCCAGGCAGTCATATTGAATTGAAAACCAGGGGCTAGAATAGCCAGGTGACCGAGGAGATGACTGGATGAAGATGGAGTGAAGCAACAGTCAGAGAAGAGTGAAGCAACAAAAAAGAAGAAAATGATAAATGTTTGGGACTAGCCTCTAAAAGCTGAGCATATATCTTTAGGTGTAAACTTAAAAGTCAGGTTTCGAGGCTTCTATTTCAATGATTCTTTCTCATCCCTCCTTTAAATCATTGTTCTGTGGCTAGCCCCCACCATGGTTTCTGACATTTGTAACACCTTGACTTTCAGTATTCATGTTCATTTTGCCCAAATCACCTGACTTCCTTTGGAGAAATCTGAGCCCTAAGATGTTCTTTTCTGTTCCTGAAGGAGAAATACATATGACCATGTGTATCAGAGCATGAAACAGAAAACTAGGGGTGCAACAGAATTTCTTTTGACATACTGGCAAAAACCTCCTTGGGCATTTTTCTTCTTATTGCAATGAGAATTTAAAATTACACGAGGTACAAAGGATAAAATAATAGCATAAAAGGAATGAGAAATATACAGTTGCTTTTGGGCATCTATATTAAACACAGGTGGCAGGTAGCTAATTTCTTTATGCTCTGAGAGCCCAGATGACTTAATACAAAGTTTCTTTTTTTTCTTTTTTTTTTGAGAATGTTTTTATTTCATGGTTTCGGGTTATATATTATCTTGTGGTTGTGTTGGTTAAGGAACAGGAAGATGAAAAATTGAATATGCTCTTTAAAGGTCTTTTTTCTCATGAAGCAATTTTAGGGCTGTGGAACAGGTAGAGTTATTTTTTTATTTGTTTGTTATGTTTTAAACTGGAGAGAAACTAAATAAGTTTATATAGCTGGAGTCCATTTGCAGAATAGATCCAATAATATGCATTTTTAGATTGGAATGCAAAGGAAAGTGTCGTTACATAATATTCCTTTTGAATGTTCAGTAAACAAGATTTTAACCAAATTACACAAGAGTTCAACCTTTGGGTTGTAACTTCTACAGGAGGCAGATAAACAATATGGAATGGTTAAAAATGAAAAGCACAGCCAGTTCCTATTTTGTCAAGATTATGAGGGTAGAAAACAATTTTCAGTCCCTTCATGGGGTTACACAGTCATAAAATTTCACTCTTCAGGACAGATATATTAATAAAACCAAACATATGGCCTGGCCTGGTCACACTAGTCCTGAGGCCACATTGGACCTTTCCAGAGGTCAGCATCTGGTATTATATTTTATTGTGAAGCATTTCTCAGAATGAAAAAGGCTCAATAAAGACAGTTAATTATATTATTTGAGCAATGTAAGCCAAGTTTTATCCTGCAATTGTTCTCATTTTCGTTAAGACGTGGGTAATTAAACTGCCCAAAAGAATGCATAAATATTGAAAAAATTTCATTCATTACTTCTTGATTCTTTTTTTTTATCTTCACTGGAAGATATTTTTTAAATTAATTTTCAGACAAAGTGAAGAAAGGGAGGAGTTGGGAGAAAAATATTGATGTGAGAGAGACAGGGATCAAACCCACAACCGAGGTACATGCTCTTGACTGGGAATCGAACTCATGACCCTCTGCTCTGCAGGCTGATGCTCTAACCACTGGGAAACTGACCAGGGCACTCCTTGATTCTTTTACAACAGGTGACTTGAGAAAAACAAACCACACATGTGGACACACACACACACACACACACACACACTCCACAAAGAACCAAATGTTCCACATGGACTGTGGTTGGTTGTGTTAGGATGTGAAACATAATTAGGAAGAAAGAATCTATTTTATAACCTGTTTTTTGGAATGGATTCTGTGGTATAGTTTTCAGATCTGAGATAATTCTGTTCCTAAATTTTGACTGTATTTTATAAATCCTCTCCCTCTTT